GCACCGCACGCGCCCCTTGCCGACCAGTTTTTTCCGAGACTGTTCGAGGGACCCGGCTGGCGATTGCGCGTACGTGTTCCCGAAAGTCCACTGATCACCAAGATACCTTTGGTTTCCCGATCGGACTCTCCGAAGGGCGTCCAGCAGGCCCCCAACCCCGCGCGCCGCCGGCGCGCCGACCGCCGACCTTTCTGGACCCGCCGCCGGCCACTAGGAGCAGCACCGGCGCGCCCCGCGGCGCTCCGGCGCTACTCCGCGCTCCAGCGTCGCTACCGTCGCTACACCTCCACCGGCTACGAAAAGAAGGCGTTACCGACGTGATGCCGACAAGAGAGTGGTTGTGTGCGATTCCAAGCGATTCCTTACCGATTTATTGATAGTGCGAGTGCGTCAACTGACAATTTGTAGGCGAAATGCCGAAGTCTTCGCGAAGAAAGAGGCTTACACGGCCAAAAGATAGCAAAGCTGGGCAGGCCAACTGCAAAAAATTACGGCTGTCAGAGCCAGAGGAGGCTTCTAACCTAGCTGTTGAGAGTGTAAGTTTAGTCATTAGTCGATTTTCAGTAATCATCACAAATTTTAATGGATTTTTAATTGTTTTCAGTCATTGCAGCATGATAACAGCAGCCCGGCAATTCAAGTCTCGGAAAAAACTGGTCGGCAAGGGGCGCGTGCGGTGCCCCGGGCCGCGAAAGCTACCACTCCAGTTACGCTTTCCTCTCATGTCTGCATATCGCGAGTTTGCAGACCGTATTCAGAGCGAGTTCAGGCGCCAGTCAGACCACAGCTAGAACTGGATCAGTCCGCGTTCAAACTCTTCCGGTAAACGTCCGAGCTCTGAACACGATCTGAACGAGGACCAATGGGCGTCTGACTGGCGTCTAACTGCGGTCTGAACATGCTCCTAATTTTCAGACGCAGTTCGGTTCGCGTACAGCACAGCCTATCCTTCTCACATGGGAGGCGAGGGCGGGCGAGTCCCGTGCGTCCCGAAGCTTTGAACGCGGTGCGCACCGAGAAAATCGGGTCCGATTTCGTTTGGATTTTTTGCGCTGTTTCCAAAAGACCAAGGCGCACCGAAAAATCGACTTCTCCGACTAATCTATTTTTTTAACACAGCCCCTCCCCCCTCTCTCTCCCTCTCACCCCAAACCCACCCTCCCGATTTTCACTCCCACTTTCCTCTTCTTCCATCTGAACATTACTATCTTCTTTTAAACGTTACATCTGAGAATATTAGCACACTAACGACTAAAGCCCAGCTACTGCGGGCTGCTGCACGCAAGCCCATCCTATTTCATGGGTCGAAATCGTGGATTTCGGAGGTCGAATATTAGATTTCACCTCAGAGAGACCGTGTGCAAAGTCCAGGGCCTGTGCGACAACGTTTACCCGGATCGCATTGCGATTTTCGTTTTGGCCAAACCTTGGCGCCAAACAGGTAGACCATCTTGTAGCCGCTGCACTGCGCGCACGGTGGGACCGGGGCGCTAATTTTGAGACCCTCCTGGATCTCGACCCCATCTCCCGGTGATCGACTCGGGCTGAAAGTGTAAGCTTATGGGTCCTACTTTGTATCAGATATGAAGGAACCGTGCTCCCGACACACGCGACGTGGTTATGGGCCTAAACATGCGCCCGACGTCACTCGCCATTTACAGAAAATAATGCCGACGTAGCCCTAACTTTTTATTGCATGAAAACCGAGGGCACACTGAGACCTTTCAGTATCAGTAATGTCTGCGGGGTAGCGGTGAGGCGGTAAATGGAAAAGGCAAAAAAAGTCCAAAACGCCCGTGTACTAGGCTACTGTGCACTACAGGCGTGTAGTGTGGGCAGGCTAAGTGACATCACCACAGGCGCAAATACCCGTTTTTCAAACTTTTTCTTGTGAACGTGTAACCGCTACCCCACAGACATTACTGATTCTGTAATGTCTCAGTGTGTCCTCGGTTTTCATGCAATAAAAAGTTAGGACAACGTCAGCATTGTTTTCTGTAACTGGCGAGTGACGTCGGGCGCACGTGTAGGTCCCTGGCCACGCCCCGTGTGTCCAGAGCTCAGATACTTCACATCTGATACAAAGTAGGGCCCATAGGGTAACACTTTCAGCTCGAGTCGTTCGCCCCGGTCCCACCGTGAGCGCAGTGCAGCGCCTGCAAGGTGGTCTACCTGTTTAGCGCCAAGGTTGGGCCAAAACCAAAGTCGATCGCGACGTTGTCGCTCAGGTCCCGGACTTAGCACACGGTCTCTCATTTAAGAACCGTACCTCGAAAACTTTTTTGGGGCGGGATGGGCTACTGCACGCACCCCTATGTGTTAAGGCAGCTGATGTAGAATGCTTCGCCATCGTTCAGCTAACCAGCTATACGTACTCCAAACCACGTCACGTCTTGCGTAACAGGCTTCGCGGTATCTCACTAAAAACTTTTACGCTGCGACACGCCTGGCGCACACATAGCTAGGCCTGCGGCGCTGACACCCAAGACGAGTTAAATTTTACGATTAAATAAACCACTTGGTCCTTTTCACCTTATTTTCGTCAAGAAATGCCCCCTTGCACCCAAACGGTACAAGATAGAGCAAAACTCACGAAATTATCAGCCCCAGGGTTGTACTCCTGAGAGTTACCCCTTAGGAAACCCATGAAACAATGTTTGAAAAAAAATAGCGACCTGTAGCTTTTGGTTTTCTTTTAAAGTCAATTTTTAGGCTAGAATGCTCATCTTCGATGTAGACCTTTCTTTTTATGATACAAAACAACCCTGAAATTCCCAGAGCGCTCTCTCAATTCCTTCTCGAGTTATCGTGCGGACAGACAAACAGACAGATACACAGAATGAAACTTTTCCAGTCAGTGCAGAAATGGGCTTCGCTAATCGCTCAGCCAATTACTGTCCAATAGACCATTCCGCTCAGCCGAAAGAGAAGAAGAGAAGGAAGAAGCAAAGGTATCGTTTAGGGCTGATAGGGCAGATTTGTGAGTGATTCGTTGTCTTAAAAATATCACATTTGCTCTATAAAATCATTTTGAACATGTAAGAGTTGTAAAATGCTGTGTTAGAAGGTCCATTGAGGCCCAAAAACTATATTTGCTTCTTCCTTCTCTTCTTCTTTTTCGGCTTAGCGGAATGGTCTATTGGGAATGCAGTTGACCCCGGGTGAAAATTCCGGTCGTAATAGTATTTCTGGCCGTGACTCTTCTGGTCGTCTCAGTTCCGTCCGTTACTCTCCCCCGCCCGTAAACGCAGTCCCAAAAAACCATTGGTGGTCCCATGGCGCATGGGACATCATGGGATTGCATGGTGATGTAGTCCCATGGTGTGTAAATTCACCTCTGATTTTTTTTGCCACTTTCCCCTGGTAATTTTGAAAAAATATTCTCCATTGTGTATTAGGTACATAGGGAACTTTAAACCATGCTGTCCACCCGACTGGCGCATGGTGTTTCTTGGTGTTTCACCTACAGTCTTATGGTTATTTAATTTCTATCAGAGACCAAGATTTTGCCTAATTAAAGAGGTGCGGAGATACACTATGCATGTTGACTGGAAGTTTGAATCGGGGCACAGCCAAATCCGTAGTACATTTTACAGTAGCTCAAGCCGTTTTCAAGATTCCAGAAAAAAGTGTTCAGAACTCAATGAATTAACAATGGCAGTACTGAAAAATATTGTCGACGCTACATACCAAATTTCAGCTGAAAATTCCTGTTATTACAAATTTTACAACACATTCAACTGGTCATGGTGCTTAAGCCAATCGGGGCGATTGTACATTAACCGTGGTACAGCATGTTCACCATGTAAAATTTGAGCATGGGGATGGATCCCATAGGAATTTCTTCACTTGAAGAAAACACCATTTGAAACTGACTTCCCATTAACGACTTTACCATGAAAAATTTTACTCCCATCCATGGGGAAATATCTAATCGCGATTTTACATGGTGGGATTCCGTGCGCTACATGAATTTTTTGGACTGGCGAAATCAGAAGACCCGTAGTCATAGGGCCGTAGCCCAGACGCCGGTCGAAGGTTGTTTCGGCCGGAGAACATTCCGACCGGAGGATGTTCCAGCCGGAAGTTGTCCTCCTGGTCGGAGGAAGTCAGAGTGCTCCGTGAGCAGAGTCCAAGGGCGGCTCTTAATACACGATAAAGATACTTTGTATGGTCAAATTTCGACGCGGAGCACGATAATGGTGCTTAAATTGCTCTATCTCTCGCCGTTCTCTTAGCAGCCCTATGGTCAAAAAAGGGATTATTTTTTACCTCATGCATAAGAACAGTTTGCTATCAACCTGTAACACACGGAGCCATTTCCCCCTGTTATTGTTAGTTTAGGAGTTACAAATCATTTACGGTTGACCGAAAAGCGTACGGCCGGAGAGATTGGCTCCGGTCGTAAACCGTATCGATTTCGACCGTAAACCAGAATCCCTCCGACCATGAAACGCTTCACTACGGTCGGAAACTCTGACTCCGATCGGAAACAATGGGGATACGGTCGGAAATCGTAAGAGATTCCAGCCGGAGTGCCAAAATACGGCCGGAGAGAAGGAAAAGCGGTCGGAAATCGTATACACATACGGCCGGAACGCCACATTCCGGCCGGAAACCTGACCGGAATTTTCACTTGGGACACGGGTCGATACTTCGGACTCCTAATCCCCAGTCCGATATTAAATACCTCTTAATACGGCCGTCGCTGCCGCCGTCTAGTAGGTTAGAGTACAAATTGTAGGCCGCGCTGCCCAAGCTGCTACTGGACCTCTCTAGCCCGTCGCCTACCAGGCAGAGGGCGTAGAAGAAGACGAGGTAAAGCATGCCGACGAGAGCGAATCCCGTAGCATCCATACGAGTCGTGATGACGGTGGCCAAGGCGGGCATGAATAGGAGATCGCACACAAAGGCAGTGACGGCCTCGTCGAAAACGTCTGAGGTCATCTGGGCCATTTGGCTCAGAAGCACGTGCCGCCGTAGACACTGTAATAGTAACAACTTAGGTTAACCAGATCAAGTACTTTCTACATCTGATTCTTCTTAAAAATGGACTACTTTTAAACCGCAAAGTGACACTCAACGTTTACAACGGTAGTGATACATCATCTACATCTAACACCAAAGGTAGGTAATAAAGTATAACCAGTAGAAGAAAGGTGACAAAGGAAGAAAAGAGTGAAAGCGAAAAGAAAAAGCAGGCCCGCCCGTCCGCAAAACAGAGTTGCCAGCTTTGCTTCGCTGCGCCGGCAACTCCGTTCGGACGCGATTTACTGAAGGACATAATCAGATAACGTAACGGGCCTCGCGAAGCCGTCGCGCTGTATCAGGTGCGCATACTCATCGGGTCAGCTACCGAAAATTTGGCTATGCCACGGTTAAGCCTCGTTATAATTTTCCTTACAGACACTACGTTTCGTAGGCAAGTCCGTTTGGAGGGGGCCGGGCCTAGCTTGGCCTGCCGGCGGCGTTTGGTCACTGTAACTCACTTTGCACTATTTGAGTAAACTAACGCTTCCTGCGGCCCTAGAGATTTGCTCCTTGGACATAAGAAAAGAATGTAATGGGCACCACCGTGACTTCACCCCACCCTTCTGCTTTACTATAGAATAAAATTTAATAGAAAATGAACAAGCGCAGTTTTAGCTGGTATTGTTTGTCATTAAGCCTTCAAGCTTAACTTTTAGCCAATATTTTAAATACATCCAACGCTAGCACCGATCCAGTTAGAGATACGAGGGCAGCTCCCGATTCAGAATGTGATGTTTAGGGGGGTACTCTTTATGACATTTCATGATTGGACTCCTCCTTGCACGTCTTTATGTGCAGCATGGTCATTTTCACCGTATTTTCGAGGAAAAAAAAATCTTTAGCACCCAAGCGGTGCAAGAGTCAAACTGACAAACTTTTAGCCCATAGGGTTCTATTTTCACGGGTTACACCTTAGGAGACCATGAAAAGAATATTTGTTTCCGATATATTTTGGACCAACCCATATTTCTTTGTTACCCCTTTTCATCCCCTTAAGGGTGGTTGCCAGGATTTTTACCAGGCGTCTCGTTGTCCAAGAGTGACCCGTAATATATTTTGAAATTTGTAGACGTCTAGCTCATCTCATTCCTATTAGACGGACGACGGACGGACACAGAGCGGTTGCATAAGCCCACATTAATGCTTTTAAGGGTTGGGGTAAAAAGGAGACAGGAAAATCACTGAGCTGATCAACGAGGGGGCACTTTCTCGCGGGAATCATGCGGGAATCTCTAGGAACCTTTGGAATCGGAATCGATGGTAATCACAGGAAATTATGGGAATTATCAAGAATTGTGAAGATTCCCGGAATCATGTGCACTGTGTACACTTAAATGAGGTATTCCAGCGGTTAGAAGAACAAGGAGAAGTTCCAATATGGCCGCCGCGGAACATAACAAACCATCAACTGTTTTCTCGAAGCGGCTGCTAGCAGCCTCTCGCGCTCTCGCGCTCATCGTTACATTGCGTCTATTTGAGTCAAATTTGGTATCATTTTGATCGGAAGAAAGAGCGGAACACAGAAAATAATATTCCGATTCAAGCAATACCAAATTTGACTCCAACAGACGCGATATAACATTAGGTAGGTTATTGGGGCTCCCGAGCGCGAGCGGCTGCTCGGGAAAACAGTTGAATGTTTGTTATGTTCCGCGGCGGCCATCTTGGAATTTCTTCTTGTTCTTCTAACCGCTGGAATACCTCATTTTGAGTTTTTGTCCCATCGGTCATCATCGTCTTAAGATGCGATGGGCGTCACTGCTGCAGCAGCTACGACTTACCTCCCTGACATCGTAGAAATCACGCGCTTTAGTAAACTGAGCACCAAGAATTGTAAAGAGTATGGCAACGGCCTCCACAAAGAACAGCGTGAAGCAGAAGACAACGAAGACCGGGAGACATATGGGGATAACAAGAAAAGACTGTCCTCAATGTTATTAAAGCGCGAAATAGAGTACAACGTAACATGATTGTATATTATTAATATTGTAAAATTTGTCTTTAACTACATAAAAAGCAAGAATTTGAGAAGTCTGCTGAAACGGAAACAATAAGAACAATTGTGGACTGAGAGATGTTCGTGATACGAAGCTGATATGGTTGCTGTAGATCGTTTCGACAAGCCCGATTCATCGTAATACGAACACTGCTGTAATGAACTAAGAGTAAAAACCGTTCAAATTCGCGCACCATGATGGTACTACGAGTTTTAAACGAAACTGGGCCGCGCGCGGGAGCCTCAGCGTGGTGTCGGCGCGGCCACCTGTTGGAGTGCAAGTCCTCATTACCCCAGTGCCGCCCGCCAACAATCGACACTGTTTTCGAGGCCCCGCCCGACGCCCCTTTTGGTGAGTGATGAGTGTACCGAAAACAGAGAGCGAGCCACCGCTCGGTCTATCCAGTCGCGACATGCGCGCCGGTCGGAGAGATCTCATTCAGCCTTGGGACACGATCGAGTCGACATCACCATCCTCATCCTCGCGAGCAACCCCGTTTTTCCTTTCATCTTCGCGAGCTAAACCGTTTATTTTCATCTTTTCATCTTCACCTCACCGACCTGTGTGGGCATAAGTGAGAAAACAGACTTTTTGCCCCAGGAATGGGGCCACCGAGAACGCTAGGCATACACCAAATGTAAAATGACAGATGCAAAAAAAGTTTTATTGAATCCGGGGACAATTTTTTTTTGCCGTGAACTGTCTGGCGAGAAGACTTCACTGCCATTTCAAACCCCAGAACCAGAACCCCTTCCAGTATCGCGTACCACCACCAATGTTACATGACTGCATGGCGGGATTGCCTTCCTACTGCTTTGCAGGCGCTACATGCACAAAACCAAAAACAACGTGCCCTACCAAGCACAAAACAAATTCCGTAAAGAACGAGTAGATTGATAATGTAGCAACTTCATTTGGTACACCTTGCAATTTGTTTCTAACGGTGTGGGGTACTGGGCTTCGCTAATCGATCAGGCAACAAAACAACCCAAGGTTGTTTTTTTTAATACGATGATGTTTTAGATGTGTCATGTCACACTTTTTCTTCAAATGTCCTTGTTTATTGGTGTTGATGTTTATTTTTATTGGTTTGATGACTTGTAATAAAAAATAGGTAGATGTACGCCTGACCACGCCTCGCGTGACAGGCTTCGCGATATCCCACGAAACACTGTTACGCTGGGACGCACCTGGAATACATCTACCTAGGCTTGCGTAAAACGACGTGCTGGTACAGTTCTGTGACGTGCTCTTTTGGGAACCTTGGAGGAACAGGACCACAAAAATACAAGTTGCCCCTACTACTGGCCTGGTATGTGTCAGTACATTAAACTCTGCTGTTTGTCTTTTGAAAAATGTCACCGAAGTCCCACCCCTCCCCCTCCCCATTCACGAAGGGCTTCCAACACCCCTCCTTCTGACGGTTAGCCACGGTGGCTATGACTGGGGAAAGGGGGGAGGGTATTATTCCATTGTTACGGAGTGCTCTACATCACAGTCTGGGATATAACCAGCGATTGGAGAAAAGTCTCCTTGGGACCATCCCAGCCGTCGTTAAATTTCAAAGGACCCTGTCGACCATGTGGTGTGCATGGTAACCCTTTTCCGCTGTGTGGACAATTTTTGAATGGATAAGCTTGTTCTGTCCGACGTTCTTTCACTTCCGCTACAGCAGACTTTGTTGACTTGTCCTCACGGACCATAATCGCTGCCACTGAGATGCGGCCAAGCTCCCCGCTGAACCAAGGCCACAGCGGAAGACCGAAATCAAAGCCCGCCAGCATGGGCAGGCCACATGCCGCAGAGATGCCAAAAGGGTAGACGATGGCCACTTTGAACAGCCAGCGACCCCATGAACAGTGCTTTTCCGCTTTTATCTGCAACAAGGAACCAAGAGGTTTGTCATACATCCATAACTTTGATACGTGCATTTGGCTGCACGAAAATTAGAACCTCGAGAAGAAAGGCATATGAGGGTTCGATTCGTTTCCTCTCACGCTATTATATAAGAAGTTTCAACAAATAAAATTGTGAACATATTTCACGGGTTTTCGAAACTTCTAAACTAGTTCGCCTCGACCTGAAGCGTTACAACGCGGCCACAGCCAGAACTAATACTATTGTGCGCACCCTCATATCTGCCCTCTGCCTCCGGCCTCCGGCCCGGGTTGTAGGAAGGGTTTGAGATGCATGTGTTGTTTGTGCTTTTGAGAAAGGTTGCGTTGCTGAATAAGTAAACTCTCACGTGCACAGAACACCTCATAATTTCCACACTTATTTTCACCCCGAATGGCAGCATGATCTTGGGGTCTCCAACACTGTCGTTCTTCAATGTAATTGCCTTGCCTACTTCTCAATGATTTGCCTTTTCTTTTTTTCAGATTTGAGTGAAAATGAACAGCCCCCTGAGAGCCCATGTCCTGTCACCCCGTCCAATGTTGATTATCTTTTCAACTTTTTAACTTTTCAACTCAATTAGGTATGTGTTTTAGAAAGATATCAAGCGGTTTTACAGTCCAGTACGTGTTTGAAAATAGTGCCGTTTGTCATATTGTTATTGTTCCAGTCAAAGGTACACTAAGCAACCGCACAACTCCAAAAATAAAAGCAACTAAGCGAACGAACACACCAATAAGGAGATACGCAACGCATTGGCCACCATACAGGAAAATGTAGAAGATTCTGGTAAGTTTTTAACCTTTAAATGTGTGATTATGGTTTTTACAATCAGAAACGTTTTACTGAATATAAGTGTTAAT